CCGCGGGCCGGATCAGGCCCGCAAACGGGTTTAATCCGGCCCGCGAGATGATTTTGAAGTATAAAAATGCGCTGCAATTTTTCAATAAAATAAACTGCTGTTCCAATTACGTCCACTGGATGGCGCAATAGCAATTGTGTTAAGCAAGCAAACTGTTTATACTGGGGCAGAGCAAGTAGGTCAAGCACGTGCAGCCAATGAGCTACTTTGTTTTGCCCGCGATATTTATTACGGCTTCTACTTTTAACATTATGTGCTTTGGCACCTTCATTGCCCCAATATGTCTCTGTCAAAAAAGAGAAAAGTGGACGCAGAGTGCAGAGTGTTCCAAGAAAAATGGTAATCCTATTTAATCACGGAATTGAATGGGAAAGCTGTATGTTTGGTGTGTTCAGAGCATGTTGCAGTGCTGAAAGAATATAACCTTTGTCGCCACTATGTGAGTCTTCATGCCGACAAATATGACAACTTTCAAGGACAGCGGAGATGAGAGAAGGTGAATGAACTGTTGGCGGGTCTGAAGAAACAGCAGTCTGTGTTTACTCACAGCCGAGACATCAGTGACGCTGCAGTGAAAGCTAGCTACCTCATTGCTAATGAAATCGCAGTGGCTTCAAAACCTTTTAGTGAGGGTGAATTTGTAAAAACATGCATGATGAAGGCAGCGGAGATTGTGTGCCCTGAAAAGCGGCAGGCTTTTGCAAATATCAGCCTGACAAGAAACACAGTTGCAGACAGGATTTCCGATCTTTCAGTGGATTTGGACAGCCAGTTGAAGCAAAAAGTAAAGTCATTTATTGCGTTTTCGGTTGCAATTGATGAAAGCACGGACATTACAGATGTTGCACAACTGGCCATTTTTTCATCCGCGGAGTTGATGACACATTGACCGTCACCGAGGAGTTCGTGGAGTTGGTGCCGATGACAGATACAACGACAGCAGCTGATATTTTTACCGCACTCGTCGGCGCGCTGGACAGGGTCGGAGTGGACTGGTCCCGCGCTGTCAGCCTGGCTACAGATGGTGCGCCCTCAATGATCGGGAAAAAAGCAGGCGTTGTGACAAAGTTCAGAGAGAAAGTGCAATCTGCAAATGGAGGACGTGATTTTTTGACTTTTCACTTTATTTTGCACCAGGAGGCTTTGTGTTGCAAGTCATTAAAGATGGATAACGTCATGAAGGTGGTCATCCAAACTGTTAATTTCATCCGATCCAGAAGCCTGAATCACCGTCAGTTTGACAGCCTTCTCAGAGAGAAAGACCACATCTATGGCCTGCCATACCACACTGAGGTAAGATGGTTAAGCCGAGGTGCTGTGCTGAGGCGTTTCTTTGATTTACGAGAAGAAATTGAACAGTTCATGGAAGAAAAGGGCAAACCAGTGTTAGAATTTCATTCCGCAGAATGGATGCCGGACCTTGCATTTATGGTGGATGTTACAGAGCACCTGAATAACTTGAACAAACAGCTGCAAGGGCGCAACAAAGTTGTCACACAGTATTATGACAGCATACGTTCTTTCAAGTTGAAGCTGTCATTGTGGGAGACGCAACTTGCCGGTGGTGATGCAGCTCACTTCCCCTGTCTGAAAAATGTGTGCGCGACCCAACATGTGGCAGACATGAAGCGGTTCAAAGATAAAATAACTGGACTGTTACGGGAGTTTGAGCAACGCTTTCAGATTTATGTTTATATGTTTTTATGTTGATGTGCTATTGTTTTTAATTGATTTTATTTTATTTGTATATTTAACCTATTCTTGACTCTGTGGTTCTTGCACTTGTTTGGGGAACAGGATTTCATTATTTTTATCTACATTTCTGCCTGAGAAATGACACCCTGATATAGTTCTGTGATCTGTGATATACTTCTGTGAATCACTGAGGCATTGTGTGTTTTTTGTCCTCAGAACTTTCAAATAACTTGAGGTGTTTTATGATTAATAGTGATGTTGTGCTTGTACTATTTTGGACACACTGTCCTCAGGCTCCAGCTTTATGTTGTATGTTGATCGTATTAAAACAAAGAAAACAATCTGAAGTTGTTGTTTTTAAGTTATATATACCATGATTTTTCCGGTCCGGCCCACTTGGGAATAGATTTTCCTCCATGTGGCCCCTGAGCTAAAATGAGTTTGACACCCCTGATGTAGAAGCTGGAGTGACTGGTTTTAGGTACAGCTATGATACCTTGGTCACAATTTGGGAAGGTTAAAAGAAGATAGATGATGTAGGTGATATTTGTTGACACGGTGGAGGTTGTTTTAGTGATCCCCTCCCCTGCCCTGCTGTCTTATGTTTCAGATCAATGCTGAGTTTGAGGCTCACGCCTGTTCCCTTAGAATCAAAGTTCATGGCCCAGTTAGACATGCTTTCAACTCAGCTGATTAGAGTAATCCGAGCCAAAGGAGGAGTAACTCGGGAAAAGACCACTGAAATCATGCAGATTTTGTATCAGGTGCATCTATCACATTTGTGTGTGTTTGTATCTACAAGCGAGCTAAACATGATTCATTAAGAGAGAGAGATGGAGCGGGTGAACTTCAGGTGAGTGGGAATATGAGAATTGATCAAGATTGTGTTTTCCCAGATGGAGGACACTAATATTAGATGAGAAGGACCTGATCAAGGAATACTTGGTACCTAGTTTCTGTCAGCATGTCCTGTACTGATTATATATTTATTTAGATTACAGAAAAAGCTTAGTGAATGGGGTCCTTTCAACATTTTGTCTTTATGTTATGTTGCCTTCTGTAGGACATCCAGGCTGATGAGGCTCAGAGGGAGTTGGAGCAGCTCACCATGGCAGTGTTTGTCATTCGTAAGGAAGGTGAAGGACTACTGCAATCGGCATAGTCATCGAAGGAGTGGAGGTGGTGCATGAACTGAGTTCAGTCGCATCTGTTTGTGCCTTCCTTTTGGGTTTCATGTATGTACTCAACTTGGTTTATCCAAATCATGCCGTTTCACTTTTGAAGTCTTACAGAAAGTCCCAATGCAGCTTGATCGACACAAGATGTCTCCAAAAGTGCAGAATCTGTTGCAAACTGCACGGCTCACAGTAAATCAACACCAAGGTGTTGATAGTGTTTCTCTTATGGTTTATTTTGTTTACAGATTTTACACTCAACTTGATTTTGGGTACAGATTTGAATTCATTTGAGTGTGTGCAAGGACGTTCCAGGTAGCTCCTAACATAAACACACCATTTAAAGTTCAAATATACCTCTAAATAGTTTGGTTTATTCATACAGGTTGCCAGAAAAACCACTTTGATTTTATACTATGGGGAAAAAGTTGTTTACATAAGGAGTTGTCTTTGAGCTTTCACTTACAGGCCAAGTTCATCAAAACATTTTCCAAAGTGCAGAGTATTTGTTGCAAACTGCAAAGCTCACAATAACCAAGACTATGATGTTATTGCTCGGGCCCTAAAAGTGTATGTTTTTACTATTTGATTTTGGTTACAGATTTGAGCTCTTAAATAAAGCAACCATCATGGACCCTAACAGCTGAACATTAAGTGGAATGGAGCATTTTCTTGCTGTGCTGTTGGTTAGAGAAGACTTCATATCGTCGCTGTCGGGTGAAAGTATTATTAGAATGTTTTTTCTATGTTAATGAATGGTCAAATTCTAATTAGGTTGTATTTTAGATAAGTGTCTTTGCTCCTAGATCTGAAATGTTACGAGGTTCAAAAAGGGTTGTCCTGCCTTTCAATTTATATGTCAAAAAAATATATCTTCATATTTGGAGTTTCATCCGACAGCAACGATATGCTCTGTCTTGGAAAATATTGTTAAATGTACAACAGCACTCTACTTACATGTGTATGGTAGCTTCTACAGTTTTATTGAAGTCAAATACCGTACCTGGAAACAATTCTGTTTATTAATGCAGGTTGCAAATGCATTTATTTTAAAATGAATTCTGTGGCAAATATTGAACGTTTAATAAGAGGAAGTGTTACATTTGTTTACATAATGTATATGTATTTGTACTGTGTTCAAAAGCACTTTATTGGTCTAATAAATGTGAGACTTAGAATTTCTTCCATGTTTTGAGTCATACTTAGGTGTGTGTAAACCAACCTAATATTTTGTTTAGCAGGAAATTGGTTCTATTACATGTTACCAATTGAAGGAAATAGTTGGGTTCCTCCAATCCAGAGATTTGCTTTCATCCAAGTTGATTTTTTTGGTTGGAATTTAATAGTATTTTAGTTTTTGGTAAAGTAAATAATCACTTTTTTTTTATATGCAAATGTAAGTTGAGTTACAGAATAATTAGGTTGCACTGAGGTAAATTATTGACTTCATTGTAATCAAATGATACAAGTGGCATTGACCTAATAATTTACTTCAATCCAAAGTATATATTTGTCTTGAAAAAACTAAACTTATTTGCGTGTTACCACTTGAAGTAACTCATTAAAGTTTATCCAATGAGTCACTTTTTTCAGTGTATACAGGCATCCTAATATAATAACTGTTTGGATGTTAGATATGCCTTTTACTTTCAGTAGACTATATGGCAAGGTATAATGCATTGTGATGCAGTTAATGCATTGTACGACTTGTTATTAGCTTGTCTAACTATTATCATGTCATAACGATCCTGATTAAATAACAGTAATTTTGAGTACGTTAAAGATGTCATAGAGAGACAGCCTACCATATTGGTATTTGGTATTTTATTAGGATCCCCATTAGCTGTTGCAAAATCAGCAGCTACTCTTCCTGGGGTCCACACAAAACATGACATAATAGAGAACATTAATAGACAAGAACAGCTCAAGGACAGAAGAACATTTTTTAAAAATGTTAAAGGCACACGTAACTTTATCAATACATACACACAAACTATCTAGGTAGCCTACCACTCTTATAACAATTAATATAGCATTAGAGCTGTCTGCAGACCAAGTAAAATGTTATTACCTATCAAGTGAGAAATCAAATATAGCTCGACTCGATTGCGCAAAATATCTGTCAGACAATCAAAGGGGACACTTGGGAGGCAAACAGTACAACTTTTATAACTTTATAATAGTTTTAAAACTTACCACCAGAGGAAGGGAGCAAATCATGAATATCACCGTCATGAACACCAGTACGATGAGATGCTCGACCTCTTCGGACATGGAGAGGACTCTCCGGTCCTTCTTACTCCGAGTTGTCACGGATCCCCCATTTAGTTTGCGCCTCCGGTACATCAAAACCAGGTGATAAACGACAAAGGCGTTGCAGGCCGCTACAGAAAGGACTAAAATGAGCATAACAGTTGCGTACAGTACTGGGTAAACACGGTCTTCAGGCATTAACGGATTCATGTCAATGAAGCACCACGTTCCCGGGCAATACTGCACGTAGTCCCCGAAACCCAAGAAGGGCATAATGCAAAACACCGCGCAAACTAAATAGATGAAAGGAATGGTGATATATCCACAACGTTTAGTGATGTGCCGCCCGTAGAAGTAGGGATAGCCAATTGAGAGGCATCGCTCGAGCGCCATGGCGAAGAGGAGAAATAAAGTGGCCAAGCTGAAAAAAGTCATACAGAATCCAAAATACTCACACATTGCAGGCGGTTTAGTGCTAATCATAGCAATAATGGTGGTGTTGAAGGAATAGGCTGCCAGGACGAAAGGGCTGACCAGACAGGTGCCCATCAAGTCTGTGACGACCAGCGTGGTGACCAGAACGTGAAAAAGCGACAGTCGCTGACGGCTCTGGTCCTTCCTGCGGCGGATCTCCAGAAGGATCAAAGCCGCCAAGTTCCCTATCACTCCCGCGGAGAACATGATCGCGCTAATGCGCGGGTTCCCCTTGTCAATGTGCAGCTTGCTGTGGCATGGGTCATTCTCTGTGTAATTTGCCATAAGAAGAGTTTTGCCTCCGTCAAATACTTCAGTCCTGCTCTATCTGTGTGATATTCGAAAAATATATTTGCTGTTCCTCAGAATTAGATTTAAGTGCTTTAGTTTCAGCACTTTAAAAATAAAAAGGCGCAAAGTGTAGTAGAGACCCACTTCCGTTCCTCTAAAAGTTTGTGTCCTTGGGTTGCGGTGTCTGGGAGCTTGTGATGAGAGAGGACGGCATTTATTGTGATGGCGCAGCAAGCATCTTCTCTCCACCTTTTCTTCACACGAATTACAAATCACCAGCGAAGTCTAGTGAGCTAAGGGTTCCTCTCTCCGAATGAGCTGTCTGAGTGGTGATTCAGTGAAGTTTGGTGATGCAGTGAAGTTACCAACATGTCGACACACCCTCTTCTCAAATACCATGGTGGAAGTATTGGGAGACTCAAGTACAGATTTCCAGAGAGGACATCTGAATAAAACAATTATTCCCTCATTATGTCGAGATCACTACTTATTTATTAGATAATAATAATCACTACATAATAAAAGCTGTTTTGTCGAGATCATAAGATTGTGTGTTTTTTTTATTGGGCACAGGGGAGGGTAGTGCGTTTTTTCCCCTGGTTTACATTCGCTCTTTTGCAGGTTTTACTATATAATTTATTCCATCCAAGCCACAATTCCTCATCTGCTTGCATGGGCCTCTCCTATATCAAGGTGTTTTGGTACTTCCCTAATGCACTAAGCTTTTACATGTGCTAACTTTTACTATACCACAGGTCAGTATAGTCTACCAGTCTAACATGCCCTATATCCACCCTTCATAGTGATAATAGTGGTAGGTGGATCCTTTGTCCAGATCTGCAATAGGCTAACTAGCAATCATACCACACATAAAAGCATTCAAAGCTGTATCAATTTTCAATATGAATCCACAAGAACAAATAGTAATAGCTGATAGGAAGCGGAGGCCAGGTGCATCATAGCAAATCAAATTGTATTTGTCACATACACGTGTTTAGCAGATGTTATAGCGGGTGTAGCGAAATGCTTGTGCTTCTAGCTCCAACAGTGCAGTAATATCTAACAATTTCACAACATATACCCAATACACACAAAAAAAAGGAATGGGATGTAAGAATATATACATATGGACAAGCAATGACAGAGTGGCATGGACTAAGATACAGAATAATATTATAGAATAGAATGCAGTATATACATATGAGATGAGTAGTGCAAGATATGTAAACATTATTAAAAAGTGACTAGTGTTCCATTTCTTAAAGTGGCCAGTGATTTCAATAGGCAGCAGCAGCAGCCTCTAATGTGCTAGTGATGGCTATTTAACAGTCTGATGGCCTTGAGATAGAAGCTGTTTTTCATTATTTCGGTCCCAGCTTTGATGCACCTGTACTGACCTCACCTTCTGAATGATAGCAGGGTGAACAGGCAGTGGCTCGGGTGGTTGATGTCGTTGATGATCTGTTTGGCCTTCCTGTGACATCGGGTGCTGTATGTGTCTTGGAGGGCGGGTAGTTTGCCCCCTGTAATGCGTTCGGCAGGCCGCACCACCCTCTGGAGAGCCCTGCGATTGTGGGCGATGCAGTTGCCGTACCAGGCGGTGGGTGATACAGCCCGACAGGATGCTCTCAATTGTGCATCTGTAAAAGTTTGTGAGGGTTTTAGGTAATAAGCCACATTTCTTCAGCCTCCTGAGGTTGAAGAGGCTCTGTTGCGCCTTCACCACACTGTCTGCATGGGTGGACCATTTCAGTTTGTCGGTGATGTGTACGCCAAAGAACCTGAAGCTTTCCACCTTCTCCACTGCGGTCCGTCAATGTGGATAGGGGGGTGCACCCTCTGCTGTTTCCTGAAGTCCACGATCATCTCCTTTGTTTTGTTGATGTTGAGTGAGAGGTTATTTTCCTGGCACCACACTCCCAGAGCCCTCACCTCCTCCCTGTAGGCGGTCTCGTCATTGTTGGTAATCAAGCCTACTACTGTTGTGTTGTCTGCAAACTTGATGATTGAGTTGGAGGCGTGCTTGGCCACGCAGTCATGGGTGAACAGGGAGTACAGGAGGGGGCTGAGCACGCACCCTTGTGTGGCCCCAGTGTTGAGGATCAGCAAGATGTTGTTTCCTACCTTCACCACCTGGGGGCGGCCCATCAGGAAGTCAAGGACCCAGTTGCAGAGGGCGGGGTTCAGACCCAGGGCCTCGAGCTTAATGATGAGCTTGGAGGGTACTATGGTGTTGAATGCTGAGCTATAGTCAATGAACAGCATTCTTACATAGGTATTCCTCTTGTCCAGATGGGATAGGGCAGTGTGTAGTGTGATGGAGATTGCATCGTTTGTGGATCTATTGGGGCGGTAAGCAAATTGAAGTGGGTCTAGGGTGACAGGTAAGGTAGAGGTGATATGATCCTTGACTAGTCTCTCAAAGCACTTCATGATGACAGAGGTGAGTGCTACAGGGCGATAGTCATTTAGTTCAGTTACCTTTGCTTTCTTGGGTACAGGAACAATGGTGGCCCTCTTGAAGCATGTGGGAACAGCAGACTGGGAAAGGGAGAGATTGAATATGTCCATGAACACACCAGCCAGCTGGTCTGCGCATGCTCTGAGGACGCGGCTAGGGATGCCGTCTGGGCCGGCAGCCTTGCGGGGGTTAACATGCTTAATCACGTCGGACATGGAGAAGGAGAGGCCACAGTCCTTGGTAGTGGGCCTCGTCAGTGGCACTGTGTTATCCTCAAAGCGGGCAAAGGTGTTTAGCTTGTCTGGAAGCGAGGCGTCGGCGACATGGCTGGTTTTCTTTTTGTAGTCCGTGATTGTCTGTAGACTCTGCCACATAAGGTTCGTGTCTGAGCCGTTGCATTGCGACTCCACTTTGTCTCTACACTGATGTTTTACCAGTTTAATTGCCTTGCGGAGTGAGTAGCTACACTGTTTGTATTCTGCCATATTCCCAGTCACCTTGCCATGGTTGAATGCGGTGGTTTGTGCTTTCAGATTTGCGCGAATGCTGCCGTCTATCCACAGTTTCTGGTTAGGGTAGGTTTTAATAGTCACGGTGGAAACAACATCACCTATACACGTCCTGCTAAACTCAGTCACTGTTTCAGTGTATATGTCTAAATTATTTTCGGAAGCTACCCGGAACATATCCCAGTCCGCGTGATCAAAACAATCTTGAAGCGTGGATTTCGATTTGTCAGACCAGCGTTGAATAGTCCTTAGCACGGGTACTTCCTGTTTGAGTTTCTGCCTATAGTAAGGGAGAAGCAAAATGGAGTCGTGGTCAGATTTGCCGAAAGGAGGGCGGGGGAGGGCCTTATAACCATCCCGGAAGTTTGAATAGCAATGGTCGAGGATTTTAGCAGCACGAGTACAACAGTCGATATGTTGATAGAACTTAGGCAGCCTAGTCCTCAAATTTGCTTTGTTAAAATCCCCGGCTACAATAAATGCAGCCTCGGGATATGTGGTTTCCAGTTTGCATAAAGGTCCAGTGAAGTTCTTTGAGGGTCGTCGTGGTATCGGCTTGAGGGGGGATATACATGGCCGTGACTATAACCAAAGAAAATTATCTTGGGAGATAATATGGTCGGCATTTGATTGTGAGATATTCTAGGTCGGGTGAACAGAAGGACTCGAGTTCCTCTATGTTACTACAACTACACCACGAGTCGTTAATCATGAAACACACCTCCTCCCTTCTGCTTCCCGGAGAGATATTTATTCCTGTCTGCGCGATGAACTGAGAACCCCTCTGGCTGGACCAGTTCCGACAGAATATCCCAAGAGAGCCATGTTTCCTTGAAACAGAGTATGTTACAGGCCTTGATGTCTCTCTGGAAAGAAATCCTTGCCCGTAGTTCGTCGACTTTGTTAACTAAAGATTGAACATTAGCGAGTAGAATTGCACATGAAAGGACAGTGAAGAAATGAGACATGCAACGGAAAAAGCTCTCCTATTGATCTCTTTTTGGGACAATACAATGATCCTACCTAGTATAGCCTACAACACCACAATGCATTGAATAATTGCATTATTGTTTTCAAGGGAGTAAAAAATGCAGTGAAAACGTAATTTGAATAAAGGCGCAAAATCCCTGTGATTTGAATGTTTAATTCGATTTGGATCAGTTGTGGGTCTACCCTCTACAGTTCATAAGGTCTAGAAAGGCACAGTAGCAGGCCAGTCTGACTGTATTTTTTACTTTGTTTTATATTTGACTGAGATGTGAGCTCTGTTACACATCATCATTCTCCAAGTCGTTTTATAATAATGTGGCCACATATGGTCCTGGCAGGCCCAGTTATTCAGGAAAGCTTAATGCACGCTCTGCCTCCTCTCCAAGCCCAGCTCCTATTCCTCGCGCACCTAGAACTTAACGTTTCAATATAGCCTAAATAATTGTAATCTAACTTTTAAAATGTAGTACCATTATACAGTATGTGGCATAAACAAAACCAGTCAATGTTTTAATCTGATTAGGCTACTTCAGAAGTCTCCTGTAGACATGCGCAGGTTCATCCAAAAATATAATTTCAGCATCCTCAAGGTGGTTTGACATTAACCAAACCTATCCGACCATTTTATGCAAGTACATGTCAGATGAAAAATGTCACGACATCATTGGAAAGCATGTAGTTTATTACGCTACAGAAGAAATGATGAACCTCACAGGGCAGCCAAGCATCGATCATTCGGTCTCCAGAATAATACCCTCGATATTTATTGAAAGAAGCATCAAGCTCATCACATGATGATCGATAGTTTATTTTTATTTGTCAATCTCTCACTTTTGTTCATAATAATCTCATTGTGTAGGCTATACCGCACTGTCTCTGCGAGCTGCTGGCTAGAGCGCATGTGCCAATACCGGAGTGGGCACATTCGCTATACCTATGCAACATTTTTAGTGACAGAACCATCATTAAGCCTAGAGTGACAGAACCATCAGAAAGCCTAGAGTTTAAAATGTGATGGAAACCCATTTAACTTC